ATATCACTAATTCCCTCGAACGCTATAGTAATTAGGGGATTTACTTATTTCTGCAAGTGATACAAATCACGTCCAATAGAAAATTAGCATTAGGGTTAGGGTTAAGGTTGGTACAAAAAAAATTGTATAGTAAAATTAGGCCAGGAATTTTTTTTATTAGAGCATAAAAGATGCTTTCTTAGGCAAAATTTTGAGTTACTGGCGATGTTTTGAAAAAGCCTTCGATTTTACGTTACACAAAGATTTTACCTGATCTTGCGATCTACATATAAAAATTTCTTTTTCTGGATTTGTATCACTTGCAGAAATAAGTATACGCGTAATTAGGGCCTTAATATATCGAGAAGTAGGTCTTTGTGGATCGATATCTATGCGTTGCTTGTAAAAACCTCGGGAGTAGCGAAGCAACATAAGGTAAGATGACACCTAAAGCTACTACACCTCGAATACTATCAAGAAATGTAGTGTGAAACATGGGCTTATTTCGATTTTGATCTGAATTTTTCGAAGATACATTTTTTTTTATCCTAACGCTTCAAGTTTCTTTTCTCAGGCTTTGACTGCTTCGACTCTTCCGGAATTAGAAACTTAAAAGGGCGGATCAATTGCAGAACGGGATATGTGATTTCGGCTTGAATTGGGACCTGGGACTTTGATTTGTGCCGTAAGATAAGTAGTCTTTCTCTCGCTCTCTTGTTTTTTCCTCTTTTTTTTTTTTTTTTTTTTTTTAAATGTTTATAAAATATAATATAGCATCAGCAGTTTCTAGCTTCAGCCGCTTGAACATCATCATCATCACCAGAAATACAAACTTGATCTTCATGATCGATAGAATCAATACCTTGATCTTCATGATCGATAGAATCAATACCTTGATCTTCAGTTGTAACCGTATTATTCTCATTAATTTTAGCGAATTCAATATCATCACATTCGATATAATATTTGAACCAATTGATTAATGAGATAATAGTTTCTCTTTTATGATGTTTGCCATCAAAAAAACTATGTTGAAAAGGGAGCTCTAAGAAATGTACTCGTGTTAAATCGTAAATTGTCGCGACATTCTTATATACGGTAAAATTGAATTTTTTAAGACAATTCCTTCTATCAGGATGTTTAGTTAAGATATGATCTCCTAATAAAAAATAAACGTATATTTTTTTGAGACTTTTTTTGAGACTTTTTTTTGCCTTTTTTATCAAAGCAATTTTTTTTGAAATCTTCAAAGAATTTATCTTTGTTGATAGAGTTCTCATATTGATTTTTGACGTTGTCTCACAGTTCTATTTCCTTCAAAGGTTTGTTAGAAGCTCTAGCATGCCAGATTTGGGTGATTATATAAATGCAAGAATTCACTTTGGATTTTTCTAATCCTGATTTCCACGTCTCTTTGTCGTCTACGTTTACTCTTTTTTCTTTACCTTTATTCACATTTCCACGATAACTTATCTTCCCTTTACTGTCAAAAGTAATATCTCTCACGCATTTATTATTTTCTTCTTTTAGGTACAATTCTTTAATGTATTTTTTTAAAGCCTGAAAGTTTTCACTAGTCCAATTTTCTGGTCCACTTGATGATAAGCCCGGATTTTGTGCGATTCCCCATTTGAT